TTTTGGGATTAGAACGCCAGTTGATAGTTGATTTTATTATATATTCTACATTTTTATCTAAAACATAGTTATATCTTACTACCCAGGTAAGGACTAACGTAAACTTGAGTCTTGACCATCGTATTCTTGATAGTTGATATTTATGACTTTAATACTGTAAATATGAACTAAATACATGTTAACAGCACGTAATAAACATATATACTTTAATAATCGTCATTTTATTAGAGAACCTGGGAAAACTTTAGGCAAACGGGAACAGGTTAACACTAATCTGTTACACAAGAAATAAACCTAGTTGTACATGTAGATAGTGCACCGTTCTATCATCTCCAACAATGTTCACACAGTTTGTCGGGTTATTAAGCGCCTCGATTGCGGTAGGTCGAGACGAGGGTTCGATTCCTGGTCGGGTCCAACCTGACTAAAACATTGGTATTAGCTGATTCTTCACTAAACATTTTGCATCAAGGGTAACCCTAGAGCAAATACCAGACTGCACAAAAAAAATTTTTTTTTTTACAAACTAGCACTTAAAATCCAATTTTAATAGTTCATTCGATTTGCCTTTTTATATTATTTTCTTCTCATTTTGACTGGTAAAAACCAATTTAATTAGTCTTAGGCTAGTGACTAAAGGTACATACTGAGTAAGACTGGTCGGACCGGAATCCAAATGATATCTCCGGGTGGCGGGTACCGTAGGATGACATGTGTAGACTGTTACCTTATGAATTAGCAAAATCAGTTAAAAATACGGTTCATCGTGTCGGTCTAGTACAAAGCAAGGTGTATATTAATATACATATCACATCAACATGTTCTCTTGTCCAGCCCTGGCCTCAATGGCCTTTTTTTTATTTTTCCTGTTGTCAGCGGTCATTCCCACCGTCGCCAGACATTGGGCAAAGACCAGTAAAATTTGGTTTGGTCCAGTTAAGAAATATACATTACTGGATCAAATGACCAGTAAAATATTTTAGTTTGTCCAAATCATGGCCTTCTTTTACTTTAAGGGTCCCGACATTTTTGGATTTTACTTTCTGATCCCGGTCCTTAAAAGTACGTTTTTTGTAATAATATTAAATATTTACTTCTTTACCTGTTGTAAGTGTATTACATTTTACATCCTCACACCCTTTTATCTGATTTCTATCGTATAGATACTGAGTAAAGCACATCACTTTCTCGTTCTTTTAATTTGGACGCCGCACAACCTATATATAGGTAATTTAAACAATAATGCCTTCTGTTACTTTAGGAGTCCCACAACCTATATACAAGCCAATACTATATAAACAATCAATACAACAGTATATATAATAAAACAACAGCACAATGCATTTTAAATACACTTTATAATGTTGGACCCTCCATTTTTTTAACAGTAATGTTAGGACCTCTAAAGTAAAAGAAGGCCCAAATCATATGTGTAAATGTCCTGTAAAAAAGTGTCTGGTCCAGTTGAGAAGAATGGTTTACTGGACCAAATGTCTAATTGATTTCTCGAAGCCTTGGGATCTATTGTGTCAGTGAGGCCAGAGCTGAACTACTGTTATGTTTTCGTCTTAGGTAGCAATACACAGTTAGGAGTTTAATTTCGCATTTCGGCCCCTGTGGATTTTCAAATATGAAAGTTATTGTGCAATAATAAAATTCATTTTTAGACAGCTCAGTACTAATTTAGCCTTCAAAGCCATTAAGGTGGTTTATAAGAACATCAAGAGTATTTTTTTCATGTTTTATGGGCTATTTTCTGTTTGACTGTCCGTATTTTCATAGCTAGACCGGCCGTAGGTCCAGAAATTAATGTAATGTTTACAAACACTTTTTTTCTACGCGAAGTTTTTGACGCAATTTTACAAAAAAATGAGATGAAAGACATATGGTTTTTATTTGATTTCCTGATAGATATATGTAAACAGTTTCAGAAAAGGTATCACTCCAAGGGATTGAAATTCTACTTCTGGCCAAAATTTTGGGAAATATGTGACATCTTTTCCCCACTTTTTGCAATATTTTATAGCAAATAAATGCAGATAGTTGCCATGGATACACCATAAAGAAGATAATATTTTACCATTTTTACTACTAGATATCAAATCTATGGAAGATACTGATTACATACATATGCACATATATGACACAAACAGTAAGCTTAATTTGCAAGAAAGCAAGGAAAGGGGATGGTAAAATTTATGAGAGTACATTTTAATATTTTTTCCTAACTGTTTATTGCTACCTTTACCCTTCCTATGCCACAGAGCTTATATTTAGGCTATCTGTATTCCTTTCAAATGCCAACGGTCTTTATTTCGGCTTGGCAACGGTTGCCTATGTCGTCTGTTCTGTAACAATGCACTTTACGTCACAGTTGAATATAGGCAAACAAGGACGCTCTACACGGGGTACATCTGCAATTGCAATGCAAGAATTTTATTGTTTGTTGCCTTGGCATGGCTTGCCACTATTGTCTTCATTTGACGTTATGATTAAGTTTGAAGTCATGACTGCAGGCAGCACCGAAAAAATGGCAGCTAACGCTTTGTTTAGAGTCCATCCACAAGAACCAAACATAGACCTAAACCAATTGAGGACTTATCCAAGAACTGATATTACTTCAGGAATGAAAAGTAATCAGAGAAGACACTGGGAGATATGAACATGATGAAGCCATCAGAAGGCTGTGAGTTGGTGAGTAAATAAGATCAAATGAAAGTGGGTGTGAGTGATACAATTTTTTACCTTACAACGGAAAGCGTTATGACCCCGTACCGGCTGATGATACACAAGGAAGTCATATAGTAAATAAATTAATGACAGAAGCCGATTTATTTAACAAGAATTATCACTTATTTTGTGATAATTTCTTCACTTCTTTTCCGCTTGTCAGACACCTCAGAACAATCAGAACATACTTTATGGAAACCCTCCGTGCTAACCGTCAAATGTCTCAGTTACTCCGGAATACTCAGTTACGGGAGAACGAGTCTCTTTTTATTCGCCAAAGAGAACGCATGTGCTTTGTCTATTAAGATAGGCAAAACCGCAAAACAAAACGGTTCGCCTCGTCACATCCGCTGTAAAAGCGTCAGCACCAACACACGGAAATAAACCCGTTGTACCTCCGTTTACAGCAAAAACATGGGTGGAGTTGACTTAAGGTGGTACCAAAAACCTTGACTAAAATTAATTTGGCTCGTTTAATTTTCATAAAATTTTGACAAAATATATACTTTGACCCTTTGACAAAAATATAAAAATTTCAAAAAAAATTTAACCACACATTTTATCGGAAAAATTTCATTGGATATATAGCAGTTTGACAAACACTAATTTTGATCATTGAGAAGCTTAATATTTCCTTAACAATAGAACGTGATTAAACCGTTCAGCTATTTTTTAAACAGTTATCTTCCTGTAGTGTTATGTACCACCTTAAGTTATATGATGAGTGGGATATATGACGACAAACGGAAAACAAAAACAATGTGGAAAAGGCTTGCAATTAACATGTTTCACCGAATGGTACTAAACGCTTACATATGATACTATACACACAAAACTCTGACGGAAAATTACTTTCAAGGTTAGAGTTTATTCAATCGGCCCTCGCAGCTGAACAAATAGAGTACAGACAACGTAGGGATATAAATGTACAAGCCGCACACCAGCCTCCGAGGATAGAGAAAGAGGGAAACAGAAAAAATGTATAGTTTGCTCCCGGTTTAACTAACGCCGTAGGGCAAGTATAAAATGCGCAACAAAGGTCTTCATGGAATGTTTTCCCACTGACATGTTTGTGAAGAATAGAATAAATGAAATATACGTTTTTTCTGAGTTTATACACGAATTTCATTTTTTTTTTCGGAATCCCCAACACTAGTCATAGATTACTGAATCTGTATAATACTCGTTCCGAATCAATTAACTGTTAAACTTTCATTTGGTGATTTCCATTTGAAAACAAAGCCATAATTTAGCACTTCGGATCACTATTGAACCCCTCAGTCTCAAATACGTAGGACTTCTATATTTTGTCAGCTGCGTGCGCTCGAGACCAAAACGTTGAAAACCCTAAATCAGTCCATTCTGTGCACACCTTTAAATGTGCCCTGGGCCTCTCCGTGACGTTCCCTCATTGTCGACGTCATAAGCGATACAGTTGCAATTTGAATCCCTAAATCTGCCTTGACAAAATATAGAATCGCTGTGGACAGGTTAATGTTCGTGTATTTTTTTACCACTGGACATTAATCACTTTTCCTATCCATCTATCGGACTTTGACAAAGGAAATAACATATTTCCGTTTTTAAATGTGTCATCTGGATGGGAAAATATACGATGCTGGTCGTAAATTTTGTTCTTCCGGTAAGTCCGTTGATTAAACGTTTATCGTTATGAGTGGACTTCTCCAGGAAGAATGAAATTACATTGACTCTAGTGTATTTTAAAATAATCCTACATAACTTAATAATGTGAAAGTTCAATAAAATCGATCTAGTAAAGGCTCCCTTCTACTAGCTCAGCCTCTAATAATATTGATGGTACATTTATCTTAAAGGATGTTCGCCAGTTTTGTTTTTGACATTTTGTCTGATGTCAGATATTCGGAATCCTCTGGTTTTATCCATATGGTACCATTAAAAAATATTGCCCGCTAGTCAATACTTTTCTTTTAATAATTTTAAAACTTAAATTTTTTTAAAGGTATTTTTCAAAATATTATAAACTACTTGTCATTTTTTGGTAGTTTTTGAAACAAAAAAGCTATCAATGTTAAATGTATGAAAAATCTAGAGATTCACTTCCCGCCAAATTTTCAATGGCTTATATATCTCTCAAAAACAAGAAGACTTTCATTTTTGTCTGCTTTGTAAGTTCTGTTATTTATACACTTTACATTTATAACAGTCTATTAAAAAACTTGACATTTAAAAAAAGGAGCGAACATCCTTCAAACTGAAACAATGCACAGTATTATTATATTATTACTAACCTCCAGATACAAATACGACAAACAGTGCCACAAACGTCAGCATCGTGAGTCTTGTTTTATCGCTGCAAGATAAGGACTGTATTTTAAAAATTCAAATGATTTGCTCAAGTTGTATATTTTTGTATATATAATTCATTTTTTATGAAGTATGTGTGACAGTGCTACAGTATTTTATGTGTATTTGTATTTCATCGAGGGGAAAAGACTTAAGAGGGTGGCACTTCAATCCGTTTGTGGAAGGAATGAGCAGCTAATATAAAAATAAGAAGATGTGCCATATTGCAGCCATGTTGAAAAATCAAAAGGGGGCAGGTTTTCATAATGGAGGTAAAAATGGTTTGAAAAATACGAGAAAACGTCATTGAAACAGAACAGTTGCTTCCAAACATGCATAGGATTTCCCATACTTTCATACTATTTCCACTTCTATTAATAAACAACAAAAATGAAAATTAACTTTAAAGTGTTTTTGAGCAAATCCGTTTATCTGGAGGCCTTGATAACCCATTCTGACCTAAAATAAGATGAAAAAACATATAAATTGAGGCTAAAACTGGAAAAAAATCGATTTCTACCACCATTGGCCTTAACACTAACCATGCTGAATTGTTTTCAGAAAAAGTATAATTTTCGTTTATTTCGCAAAAATATGCAAATTATATGCAAATGAGCTTAACCCTGCTGCTGAAGCATATTGATTTCTTTAAATCTAAGGTAGGGGATCACGGGGCGGGGTGGTTGGAGTGAGGAGGTGGGGGTGGGTGGGCGGGAATTTGCCCCAAAGTTGGTCATCAGGGTCAAAAAGCGTCATTTTTGACTATTTTTCGTCCCATTTCTTGACCCCAAAGACCGAGGGATGCTGATATAGGTATCCAGCTGTAGTCTGCATGTACAGTGGACCCCAGTTAACACATTAACCCCAACAGTTCTTACGTTGGAGTGAAACTGATCTTGGAACACCAGTCTAAAGAAGGTCATTTGGACAAAAAATACGGAATTTCACGATTTTTTCTGATTTTGGAATTCAACTGGACCTGAAACCGGAAGTAGTCCTTTCCTCTGCGTATTTCAATAATAATTATGATCAGTAGATATATGCCTGCGGGTTTACACTATTTTTGAAAGTTTCAGGCCTCTGAACTTCCTGTGTAAGACACAGAAGGGAAGCCCACCCCTCCAGAAAAACCAGTTTTATCCGATTTCAATTTTCCAAGTTCGTATTTGAGCTCAAAATGCTACTTAAACATGAGAAACATGACAATATATAGCCTCAGGTTGAGGGAACATGCATCAATTTCGAAATAAGTATTATAAAGCTGACCTCTAAAAGTATGGAGAGCCATTAGAGCCAAATAACGGTGGTCTGGGTCATCCCGTCATATGACGGGCTCAGCATGGAAAGGGTTAAAAAAATCTGCCCCCTATTCAATATGGTTGCAACAACCGTGACCTTCAGAAGTCGCCTATTAAATCAGGCTGTTACATTTCTCGTGATTGGATTGTTTTACATTTTTCACTTTGGGACCTTTTATAGCTTACTATGCGGTATAGATTTTTCTCATTGTTGAAGGCCGTACGGTGACCTATATTTGTCAAATTCTACGTCATGTGGTCTCTGGTAGAGAGTTGTCTGACTGGCATTCCTATCACATCTTTGTATATATCTATAGAGTTGGTTAAGTTTGTAAAATTTTAGATGACGAGGAACACTTTTTCCTTCATTGCCAAATCAAAGCCATATACAAAATGTCATTGTTATAAAGATTATTTCCCTAAGATTGTCATGAACGATGTTTTGAATACAACGTTATATCAGAATACATTTTTAACCTAAAAATGTAATGTTTTTTTTAAATTTCATATCGTAAAAAATAAAGATAAAATACACATTGCTTATAATTTTATAAGCGCTCTAGTCATAACTGTATAACTGATGATAATCCCCTAAAATACAAGACTATAAAAATCCTTGTTACCTGATTAGCTACGTAAACTTTGTCATAATTCGCCATTTCAGAATCGAATGCATTCCTGGAGCGTACACCAAAACGTTGTGATTGGTTAACAACGTCTCAAACAATAGAAATTCAACGAATGACGTGACGTCGTTTTCATTCTGGGGTACGAACAATGAAATTACCCAGGATGCATTAGATTCTGAAACGGCGAAATGATAATAACCGAAAACAATCCTTTTATATGAAGTTAACATGATTGTCTAAAAAAAAAAATGCAATGTATGTAAAAATTAAAATTAAAAAAACCATGAGCAGCCGATTCCATGTCGACATACTTCGTGTTGTTAGGTATTATGTGTCAGATAAAATTTTACATTCTAAGCCTTGTTTCGGAAGGAAGGGAGGAATTTTAAAATATTTTCATCAATATTCATGTTGTCTATATCTAAATCATGTTTATTATTGTTAGTTCTTCACTTAGCGCACTAAATGTTGTCGAAATGTTCAAAATATGTATGTGAAGATTAGAAAAACGAGGGAACAGAATATAAACATTATTCCAAAAGTCTACACGTATGCCTGAAGCTATCAGGTCATGCAAAAGTGATTGTTGGTTTCCGAATCCCCTCGGATATGTCCACACTCTGTACCTTTATGAAAAATATAGAATGCAAAACAAGAATTTCCTGTCGGGTTAACTTCAACATTCTCTGTATAGGGAAACTTGATTTTTCATAAAAAAAAATAAATAAAATAAAATGTTTTTCTGCTTGCCGTGCCTTAATAGCTTTCACATGTTAGGGGAAACCAACATTCATTTTTCAATGGCCTAAGCCTGAAGCTATCATCATTCCCGACTTGAAAATACTATATGATATTGATCTCAATTTTCTATGATGAAATGCACATGGTAATTATGACATGCATGTCATATCTTTTAAAGGCTCAATTTTGGTTTCATTGATTGATTAATTGTTGTTTGTTCAACGTCCAGTGGAAAGTATTTCATGCAATATTTAGGACGAAAAAACACAGTTTTATATTAAAAAATATATAGTGAAAAATCCCAGGTGACGAATACTTAATATGGCCACACTCTGTACCTTTATGAAAAATATTTTTGAAGGCAATCGCGGCGTTGTGATTTCAGTCATAACTTTTTTAGTCCTCTTTAATTAAGCATGTCTTGTGAATATTTATAATTTCGCGTAATCAAATATAAAAGTTATCGTTTCTGTGATTAGATATTAGGTAGCAATATACAGTAAGGAAAAAAAATCAAAAAAATTTACCCTCATAAATTTTACCATCCCCTTTTCCTTGCTTTCGTACAAATTAAGTTACTGTTTGTGTCATATATGTCATCTCATTTTTTTTGTAAAATTGCATCAATAAGTTCGTGTGAAAAAAAAAGTGTTTGTAAACATTACAATAATTTCTGGACCTATGGCCGGTCTGACTATGAAAAAACGGACAGTCAAACATAAAATAGCCCATAAAACATGTAAAAAATAATCTTGATGTATTTATAACCATAATTGGAAGGCATCAGCTGTCTAGAAATGAATTTCATTGCACAATAACTTTCATATTTGAAAAATCCACCGGGGCCAAAATGCGAAACCACACTCCTAACTGTGTATTGCTACCTTAGGACGGCCATTTTGAGTCACATTTTCTTTTATGAAAATTCACATGGTTAAGAGATAAAAAGATATCCATTTCTGACTACAACGGCAAGTAAAAAACAGAAAAGAGAAAATTTTCTAAATTGCCGCCAATTTCATTTTCCGCAATATTAAGGGACAACCGTTTGATTTTAAAAGAGGGGAGGGGCTGGCAGATTTTGAAAATAAATATTCTGGCTCCCATTTAGGTGAAAATAAATAATTTTGCCTTATCACACATGAAAATAAATAATCTTGCCTTATCACACATGAAAATAAATATTCTGGGCAAATATATTCAATATGTTAAAAAAAAAATTGGCTTGCTTCGCTCGCCACAATTATATAGGTTTCCAATATTTACAGATAATCAAAAAAAAGTTATGCCCGTGTTTGTAGTAACGTTTTGGATTTCAATGAGCGTAATCTATGTATTTCTGGTAAATTATTAAGTCAGGGATTTCGTAACAAAAATTACTTAAAACTCTTACTAAATTCTTCCATAGATACATGTACAAAGATTTGGTTTGCAAGTTTGGCTGTACACAGTACAGTAACAGTACCTGTAGAAAACTTCCTAATTTTTACGGTGATGTTGTTTACCGAGCCCTGAAATTTAGAAACGATCCGGTAAAACTCATCAATCCTTCAAATAAACTTATTCTAAAAGGTTACCAATTCAAGCTCTTTGAATATTGTTTTATTGGTATAAATATTGATTTTGCTTTCAGTAAATTAAAACCAAACTAATATCATTGTTATATTCATATGCACATTCACGGATCTACAATCTGTCGATACCTGTAATTTGGCATTGCACAAGGTCTTGTTTTCTCTGAATGTTAACCCTTTCAGCGATAGCTGCCCAGACAGAAGCTACTCTGAGACGATGGCTTCCCTGGCTACTATTACTCAAGTGGGAGATCTTCATAATAAATGTCAATAAAAACTTGTCTGTAGTTATTTGTGTCTTTATTAAATTCACTAACACCATGTTCACAGTTTTGTTCATGTTTTGATAATTTTTCTTCATAAAATATTCAAATTTTCAAATTTTCGGCATTATCTAGGTGAAATTCTCAAAATTCTGCTCTTAGACTCAAAATCGTAATTTTTTAACCCAAAACGGCAAAATTTTGAAAAATTTAATGAGGCTGTACAAATTCCTTACACTGAACGATGTCCATTCCAAGTGTTTTGTACATAAAACGACATTTTATGTCAAAAAAGTATACTAGTTTGGCTTCAATTCTTCCATATTCTTTCAAAAAAAATGTTCCCTCATTTCAAATTCTCGTAAATTCCGTAAATTTCCTCTGATTTTAACACGGTTTACAACAAACGGAAGCGCCATGTTTACACTTTCATCCGGGTATTCAACAAAGAAAGATAACTCGTGTTTGCACTGTTTTGAGCGGGAAATATAAAAGAGGTATT